AAATTATTTATCTTAGTTGTTAGTACAAAGGTTGCAAAATTTTTGAGTCAAGGGAGCTCGATTTTCTTGCAAGAATAAAGCTGAATCTGTACTTTTTGCAGAACAATATAAGCAAAAATGGAAAAAAAAAATAATCCCTGCATCGTATGAAATTGGGTAAAGTCAATTCTTTCAGCCGACATTTCGCGGGCGTCTTCGTTTGTCAATGCTAAAAAGGTAACGTTCGCAATTTTAATGTATGAAAGATTAAAAAGAACAAAATATAAGCATTAAAGTGTATTTTCTTTTAAATATAAGCTAGAAACTTACTTAGTGATGTCAAGTTAGCAGTTAAATTATCGCAATAATTTGATCTCGTAGAATGAAAATATTTCAAACTTTCTCCCGAACACTTATACAAGGTGCGGCAGAAATACCTCTCACATATACATGCCAAAAATATTTGTTACATATTGCTAAGGCATTAGCTATATGAAAATGCCATTGCCACTAGCGTGGGATGTATTTCAGGGAATTATATTCTGGTGGTATTACTGACATACACTGTATAACGAGTTAGATGGATTCCAGACCAGGAAAGTTGTCGAATTTTTAACCATACGAAATAAGACATTTGACAAAAAAGTAAAGGAAAGAGGAAACTATCTCCTCCTGCGGCAATTTGTAGCGTTCATGTCGCTTAATAATTTCAGTAACTATACGATTTACCGAGTCACTCAATCCATATCGATTACAAATCTATGAAGAGATTCTATAAGGGACTTTTTATACTTTGTTTGGTTTAATCGACATCCGGCCAAAATATTCATAATCTATTGAATAATATCTGTCTATGTTTCTGATATGAGATATTATGTACCTTATTTATATAATTCGGACTATTGTCGTCATCATTGTCGCCATATTTATTACAACGTTTCGGCCTTTCAGTATCTGTCTTTATTTCTGAAATGAGGTATTATGTACACTATTTACATTACTGGGACTACTGTACTCATCTTTGTCGCCATATTTATTACAACGTTTCGACCCTTCAGTATCAGTCTATATTTCTGAGATGAAGTATTATGTACACTATTTACATTATTCGGACTATTGTCCTCAACGCTGTCGCCATATTTATTAAACATTTCGGCCTTTCAGTATCTGTCTATATTTCTGAGATGAGGTATTATGTACACTATTTACATTATTCGGACTATCCTCATCTTTGTCGCCATATTTATTACAACATTTCGGTCGTTTTACGCTCCGGCCTTCTTCAGGTGTTTGGAATGTCGAACTGAACACTTTATTTCGCTCACTGGGCCTTTACCCAACGACTTTATCCACTGTGACATGTGTCCTGTTGGAAAATTCGTAAACTTAAAGAATCAGCATATATTCTAGGCCACAAAAATCTCCTCAGCCGACCAAGCATAGAAATGAATACAATATGGGAATCAGTAATAAGGAGTGCCACAGAAAAGCGATAATAACAACAAAAATTGCAGTATGAGCTCTGGTAAAAACATGATGACAACAGTAATGTGATCACTGGTAAAAAGGTTGCTAATACCCAGAAATTCATACACAGATGTCCTCAAGGACACATTGCACAGTTGATAAAGGCGTTAGTTAGATCCAGTGACAGGACTCAAAGAGTTCAATACCCGGTTAAGGCAGTGGAGAATAAGAGAGGGAAATTTAATGGGAGATGACTGATAACTGACATCCATTAATCATGGCATGTGGAACTAGAACAGTGAGCGAAATAAAGTGTTCAGTTCGACAACCCATCCACCTGAAGAAAGCCGGGGCGTACAACGGCCGAAACGTTGTAATAAATATGGCGACAAAGATGATGACAATAGTCCGAATAATGTAAATCGTGCTATTCGAATAGATAATATTATTTTGTTAGCGACCCATAAGCCGATTAACAAAGATTATTTCTTAAGACACTATTAAGGATTAGATTATTTTCTTACGCGCTTCTAAGGTGTAGATTGAATAGGATGATATTATCTCATTATTCGACCCTATGGATTAGTGTCGGACAAGATGAGATTATTTCCTTCATCGCTCCGATGGATTAGAGATGAAGAAATAAGACTATTCAGATTTTTAGTTAGTTGCTCCTATGAATTAAAGAGGATAAGATGATATTATTTTGTTAATCGTTCCTCTGGATTAAAAGCTAAACAGATAAGATTTCTTGATTAGTGATCACTAACCGATGAAATGTGATGATTTCATTTGTCACCCCTAAAAGATTAAACTGAGTTAGTACGAGGGTAAGCCAAAAATTATCCGCTCTTCCGCCATAACATATTTTGGGGTTTCTCACAATGACTTTTGATTATGCGTGCTTATAGTTGGTACTCTTGTGGTCACGTGATCAACGTTTGAGCTTGTTCTTGCGATCTTTCTTGCTGCTGTTACAGTGTTAACATGGCCGCTCCGTTAGAAGTGTACACCAAGGAGGAACAGTGATTCAAATCTGCAGAGGCCATGCTACCTCATGGATAGTCTCCCCATTAACATCTCTCGAGCTTGCTGAATCTTCTAGACATTGGTGGAGGCTTCCTTTTCTCTCTTGCCCTCAGTATGCCATGTGAGTATTAAGTTCTCCAAGCCCTCGTTCGTTATGCGTCCAAGGAATTTCAGCTGGCTCTTCCTTATTCTGAGCATAAGCGTTACTTTTTCTGCCGTTTAAGTGCAGCGTTCCGAGTAAAACTGCTATTTCGTTGATGATAATTCGCCAATTCGCTATTACCATTTCTTGGGCTTGCAGATTCTTCACATCTGGGATGGAGGTTAACTAACGTCCTGTTTCTTCTTCGTGCGTCGTCCGTCCGGCCACTTTTTAAACTTCTCGACCCACTCATACACATTTCTATGCGGTTGGTCACTATTATTCTATTGTGTTAAAAGACCCCCCCCGATGTATTTCAATCGCTGACACACATTCCGACCAGAGAAATCGGATGACTGCTGTGTGTCCCTCCTTGGTTCATGGCGGAATGGCCACGATTACAACTGTAAAAATGCTCAGTGGAAAATATCATGATGCCATTTCTAATTTTGAGTCTCTGGTTGACCAAGAAAGAAATGAGTATACGCAAAACTAAAAACAAAATAAAATAATAAAGCTAATAATAATAATAATAATCGTCCTGACCCGTCTATTTGAAAATCAGAGTAATTTTCCAAGAAGTCAAAAAAAAAAAATTACGTGGGGTTTCACTGTTTGCTACTGCTGCTCCTGCGAGTTAAGTCTTTCCGTTGTAGTTGCAAGGGAATCTTTTGAAAAGTAAAGTGTTCGGCCGATATTATATTCCTCGTCGGGTGCTCCGTAATACAATG